TCATATCTTATTAATATTTCAGCAGTTTTATCTGAGAGCGTATAAATAGATATGTATGATATTAATACATATAGTAATGTACATATATAGTTAATCTGTATCTCGCTTGCTTTCTTTTTTTTTTTTCTTTTTTTTTTTTTTTTTTTTTTTTTTTTGCCGGCACTGTTATAAATTAGTTGCCTTAAGTGCCCAAGTAGAATAATTTGAGAATCTTTGTCAGATATGATAAAAATTTCATTATACAATAACAAAAACATTAAAAATAGTAATGGTTGTTTAATAAATAATAATTTGTATATATTTATACCGTGTACTTACTCTGTGTAGTTTCTTAAAAATGATTAGTTATGATTTCTAATTAGTCATAAAGAAAAAATATTTCATTTGTCACCTTATTTTTTATGGAAATACATATTCATAGTTGCTTTATTTTAAATTACAAATATTTTCTGCTTGATGTTGCTTCAACCGAGCGAGCGAATAGATTACTCACTGAGTGCATTGTCGCTACAGAAGGAACTAAGTACAGAAGCATATGTACACACAGACATATGTACATATTCGTATACATATATACATCTCTATATTATATAATATTGGTGCAATGAGGGCCTACTTTGGTGTCGCTGAGTTTCTCTTTGTCTGACCCACATCTCATAAAGTATGAGGGTCTCCGGATGCGAGCTACGGCAGATTACAGCCCACCTGAGTCACCACCTTGGAGGCGATATTGCTGGCCAAACGGACGCACTCGGTCAGCGAACGTTTCTCCAGCCAGGCGTGCAGGAAGCCCGCAGCAAATGCATCGCCAGCTCCTGTGGCATCCACCAGCTGCTCGGCGCGTTGTGCTCTGAAATCCTCGAATCGCAAATCGCCGGGTGGTGCCCGCTCTGCCACATAGTTGGTGGCTAGCTGCACTCCTGCATCGCCGTTTGTGATTAGCAGGATCTTGGGCTGGCCCAACTCCAGCAGCTGGCGGGCCAGCTTCTCCACGGTCTCACAGCCGGCTACCTCGGCCAGCTCCTGAAACTCCTGCCGATTACCGAATATGAACATCGCTCGCCGCGCCAGCTGCAGCATCTCCTCCGGATGCTGGCGCACTATGTAGGGAGCACTGAGATTCAATGCCAGATAACGACGCTCCCGCACCAGGTGCAACAGTATATAGCCACAGACCTCTTTACGGTACGGCACAAAGAAGCCCTCCACATAAAGAATTTGCTTACGCTCAATGGGTCGCAAAAAGCTTTGTGTGTCATGCAAAGCAGCGCGCTTCAGCTCTTGAACAGAGAAGTGGGCGGATGCGCCGATGTTGGCGTAGAGCGTGGGACTGTCTTTGTACATGAGGCACACACACTGCCCCGTATGCACATCGTCAACCACCTGCAGGCGGGCCTCGATGCCGCGCTCCAGCAGCAGGGAGCGCAGCTCCTCTCCATGCTTGTCGCTGCCAATCGAGCCAAAGAACTGGGCATCTGTGCCGAGCTGTTTCAGAATACGCACCGTATTCAATGCGGAGCCGCCTGGATTGATTAAGCAGATGGAGCTAAAAAAAAAAAAAAAAAAAAAAAAAAAAAAAAAACATACAAAAATATAGAAATATATACTTATTTCAATTAGCAACTGTCTGAGAATGAGTTACCCATTAGCTGCATCTGCGGCAATTTTGTTCAGCTGCTCCAGATCCATTTCGCCCTTGGAGCCCAGCTTCAGATCATAGCGTTGCAGCAGCTCTGGCTCCTCTAGCTTCACAGTGCGATCCAGTAGAACATTGCCGAAGCAAACGACCTTGCGGGGCCTGCCCAGAAGTTGAAATCAATTTACATTTAGTCAATTTCCAGTGGGGAAAATCCCGATCACGCATACTCACGTATCATAACTAATTTGTGCGGCATCTGAGGGCTCATCGGCTCCAAAGATTTTCTCATAGACAGATTGCAGGTACTCCATTGTATTTAAAATCGATTCAACAAACGAAATTTCCCCTCTCCAATGTCTGAAGGCCGCGCTCTATTTCAAAAATTTCGCTGCTCTGGCGGTTCCGTCACTTCCGTCAGCCAGCGACGAACTGAATGCTCGAGCCGGTTTCGCTGTGAGTATTTATATGTATATACCATATATATAATTGTATATGTACTTCCATTCCCATGCTGAATTACTTTGAAACTCACACAAAGAAAAGGTCTGAAACTTCGTTTATTGTTTCGCTTCTGTTCTTGTTGGTATTGTTGTTGTTGTTGTTGGTGGTCATATTTTTAGATTTTTGGCTGCTTTTTCTTCGACTTCTTTTCGTTCTTCGTGCGGTCTTTTGATTACATCACAGAGCTTTTCACCGTACCAGACAATGTGGGATTTGTTCTAATGAGTCACCCTGTACCGCCTTTTAAAGTTCAAATTGAAAAACATCAGGTATGCGTTAAATTGCTCTATTATAACAATAATTGTTGGTATTAGAATAATACAATTCCGCAACGTGCAAAAAAGAGTCTCTGCTTCGGGTCTTATTCAACACTGATTTCGCATAAGGTCAGCTGTTAGCTGGCATTTGTTTATGTATAAGAAGCAGCAGAGCTTTGTTCGTTTACCGGCAAAACAAATGCCTAAGCAAAAGCTTTCGACTTAACCTTGAGCTTTTGTGAGCGAAATGTGCTGCCAACTTGCTTAAAGTGGAAAAAATCCGTTAGAAATGCTTGATGGTTGCTTATTTAAATACAAAAATAGGAAATTTTAGCTTAAAGCACTTGAGCCACAGGGAAATTTTTCTTGTGGTTATTGAAAAGTTAGAATGAAATATTCGATGAATATTGAAAATGCTCATATTTAAAAAATAATAATAATAATGTTGGTGAAAAAATAATTGAATTTCTATTTCAAGTTTTCAAGAAAGCTAACTATAAGAAAACATCCTAATAAAAATTTTATTCTTGAATGTAAATCCATAATTTTTTTTTTTAAATTGCCTTTATATATAAGAAATTAGTTTAGGAGCTTACACTAATCTTCTACAATAAAACTCCAAATATATTATCATTTTCATAAATGGAAATTTAAATACTATAATGAAATCTACAATCTCTTTGGGATTTACCACGCAGAGTAGTATATTTTTAGTTTTTTATACGATAACAAATCCCCAATCCCCTGCAAATATGCGCTTCAATCATTTGGGGGAACTTTTTTCATATGCATACACAAACCGTTTTCTTTTTTGTGTGCAGCGAAAAAGTACAGAAACTGTGCGTAGATAAAAAGAGTCTCTGGCATCTCTGCATCTCAAGACATTGGGTCTTATCATAAAGCATTCAACCTCATTCTGCTCTGGGGTTTACCCAATACTAAGAAATTCCCCTTAAACACATATCTTGCACATACATAATTGCAGCTTGAAAACTTGACCAGGCTTTAAACTCTCACAGTGGCGCTCTTAACTGGTCTTGAAGCAGCGCACGTGAGTGGAAACGCGACTCAGTCAAAGCGAACGCAAAGCGCGTCAGGTATTGCAATCGACCTTTGGACTTGCCTTCCATATCGGTATGGATCCATAAAAATACGTATGTACATTGAGCGTTGGTGTATAGGTGTGTATACGCGTGTGTGTGTGTGTGTATTTTAAAGGGAATTCGAGTAAACCTGTTTTCTGCCTCAGCCATGCACCGGCCAGTCCATCGCTGAGTGACAAGATTTGGTATTTTGAGTCATGTCGAACATATTTTTAGTTGAGCGGCATGACTCAGCGCGAATGTGAGAATTCCATCATTAGCCATGCGACGGCCACTTGTTTCGGTGTGGCATGTAGCAGTCAATACGCCAAGCCGAACAGGTAGAAGCTATGCGAAGCCCCGACCTATTTTCCATTGTGCATCATGAGTTATTCGCATGTAACTGAAACTCAACTACAGTGATATCCGATATGTGTTTTTCTTTACCTTCTTTCATATATTTATTTCGCATCCATCAGGAAATTTAACATGAATATAGTCTATGGACTAATTGGATTAATTAATGTACTATTTTCATTATATTGCTTCTATTGCAAAGGAAATTTCGAGATTAAAATATGCAGTATATACAACGAATTACTTATATATCTAGAATGTTCAGCAGGAAGAAGTCTTAACTTGGCTAAAATCTTAAAATTTCAAAATATCAATAAATATACCACACAAAAATTGCCTGTGTACTACAACGACTTGTTAATAAAATATAATATACACTTTTAATTAATTTAAAAAAAAAAAGCAACATATGGGTCATGCTTCAAAAAAAAAAATAAATAAATAAAATTAAAAAAAAAAATAAGCAATATAATATAAAAGTTTAAAAAAAAAAACATATAAATAATATAAAAAGCATCAAGAAACTTCTCATAAATAAATAAAATTTTCTTGACATTTTTTGAAAGCCTTTATGATATACATAAATAATATAATTTATTTTGAAATACAAACAACATGTGCTTAAAATAAAAATTCACCCGTTCACAATAACAAAGCTTTGGGCTCAAAATATATTTTTAAAAAAATTTTTAATTTCTTTATTTTTTATTTTGGGGGCAAATCTGTCACGAAAATACAGTTGCTTAATTTGACTGCACTTTAAAGTAGAGTTCACTGTAATTGTTGTTGTAGTGCACTTTACCGTTCGTCAACAACACTGAGGCGTGGCTGAAGTTCATTGGCCATACAAAATTGGCGCGCAAATTCTGTGGCCTGATCCAAGATATATAAGTATAAATATAGTATTCCATTTGCTGTTCTCTTTTCCTTGTTATTGTTATTGTTTCTTACGCCTCAATTGTATTTTTGAGCTGAGCTAGGCGAAAATTTGCAAGCCGTGTTTTTCGTTGTTTATGCGCAGCAAGTTAACAATATTTATATTTAGACTTCAGATAGGTCAGTGTTTTCGAGCAGATCTTTATGTATGGAAGATATACCGGGTGATTAACCGCTTGCCCCAAAAATGCCAACTAAACCCTTTTCTCTATGCACTTTTTTCATATTTGTTTACGGACAGTTCATTGAGTTCAACACATATTGCACATCAAATTATAAATTTTGTTTTTCCAAGAAGTTCATTAAACTTGATTGGCTTGGCTGTTTAATGTGGGAACTTAATTTCGCCTTGGTTTTTTGGTAAGGAAGGCAGCTAGAGTTATAGCTGGCCTAAGTGAAACAAAATAAATTCCTTGGTGACTTCCAAGAAATACGCAAATCACTTCTAAGTTGTCGTACATTCAACCTAAATGTGTATAACTTTACCTCATCAATTGAATTTCACATGATTTTTTGCATATTTTATATTGTATTTCATTTATTTGTATATACATATGTACGTGCCTTTGGTCAGGTCAGGCTAATTACAAAAATATTATTCTGAAAAAACAACGCTCAGCATAAATACAAAAAATGCTCGCACCACAAAATCCAATGCAAAATAACAAAATAATTCATAAAAAAAAGTGCAAAAGAAGCCATGAAAAAAAAAAACATGTGAACGCCAACGCCATAACGGTAAATGAACTGCCGCTTGACAGACTTTCAATTGATGCCAATTGCCAGATGAGGCAGCTGTGCTCAATGCATAGTAGTTCCTGAAACTGAATTATACGCGTCTATATAAATTTAACAAATGCATCATCACAAACAATATATATTTTAGTGTCTTTTTGGTGTTTGATTTTTTTTTTTTGTTTTTTTGTTTTATTGGCTGGTTTCCCATGTGCACGTATTTACCCCCTGGACTGGTATTCATTCACTAAAGTTTCAAGCGAAAAAACATACACAGCAACAACAACAGCAATAACAATGCCAAACACAATTTTATGTGCTTGTCGCGCGCTCATTAATTAAACAATGAGACAGCAAAACACTTTCGCACAGACATCAAGTATACGCAACGTGCGCCACGGACCCAATTTGACGTCAGCTCTGCATACATATGCATATGCATATGTGTATACATGCACGTATGTATGTTTGTAATCGACTTAAGCATAAACATTATTATGCTGCCTTTGAGTCATTTGGCACGACCTGTTGACCACTTTGGCGCATAGCCAAATGCATGACCAGCCATCAGCTTGAGTTCGCGTGAAAAGCGAATGCTGAAAATTGATGATTACCGTTAAATGGGCTATAAATTGACACGAACTGAGCAGCTAGCTGAATTTTCCCCAAAAGAATGTGTGACAATATGAATTTTTAGGGAAATTTAAAATCATTAACGAATTCAACGAAAAAAGATTGCTCGATATCAAGGCAATTCATTGAGAGTAAAAGTTCGAACGAACATTCAACTGATATGCACACACACACACACTATCATATAGATATGCACTCAAGCTGTGCTCAGAGCGCGCACCCAAAGAGCGGCATTGAGACGAGATGAGTTTGAGCTAAAAGGGCAAGGTAAGCGGCTGCAGTGCGTAATAAAAGCCACAGAAGAGGCACGAAATAAACTTTGCTAATTGCCAAAATTAACGGAAATCTTTGGCGGCATCCATGCAAAAGCCAGCAACAAAAAGGCATAAAAAAAAATTGCTGAAGCTTCAAATTTAGAGCGCGAACGGAGGTGTCAAGCGAAATATTACTTGGAATAAAGCACTCACACACACACACACATATGTATACACATACACTTTCAGAGAGAGCGAACGAGAGTGAGAGCAAGTACGCCGGCTGTCTGCTGCGTGAAAAAATTCGAAAAAAGCTCTACTCAGCCATTGGGCCAGAGAGAGAGAGAGAGAGCAAGCGTCAGCACATGTTCAATCGTGTCTCTGCTCTTATGAAATTCGTACGCGGCGAGAGCGTTGCTATAAAAGCGAGCCGTCGCTATCGTTTGGCATTCATTGTGAAATTGAAAATCAAAATTGAAACAGGCAACAAGCGAAACGGTTGAACGGATTTCAAAGCGCACAACGTCAACGTGAAAAGAATTTCATAAGCAAAAGTTAATATAGCGCAAATTGCCAAGCCATAAAAACACAAACAAAAAACAATTCAAAGCTAATCAAAAATTGACTAACGCTAAATAACATTAGCAACCACAAGAAAAACAAAGCAGTGCCAAGCCGAGACAAAGTGTGCGTTACGCAAACACAAAAAGTGCAAATAGAAGCTACAAAAATAGCTGAAGCTCAAGCTCAAGTGACAAAATCAGAAGAGATTAACAACAATTCCAATATGGTCGTTGAGGAATCAGCCAACATGCATCACTATCACAGCCACAACAACAACAGCCTGGAGCTRACCGAGTGTGCCATGCCCATCGGACGTACCGTTAAAACGGCTCTGCTGCGTGCCCAATCGGAGGCTCGCGTGATTGTCGGCCTCTCGGCTGCGATCAATACCCTATCCAAATCACCAGAGGGTTCATTGTTTTGCCTGATGGCCGTGCCTAAGGATGGTGA